TCTCTCTCTCTCTCTCTCTCTCTCTCTCTCTCTCTCACTAACGCATTCACCGTGGCGCGCGTCGGGGGACGTCGGGCGGCGTAGGCTGGGCCGGCGCGATGGCGTTCTTCGGCGGGCGTCGGGGGGGGAAGGGGCGTCGACTTCGTTGGCGGGCGCTGGCTTCGACGACGAACGCTGGCTTCTATGCTGGCGTCGACTTCGTTGGCGGGAAACAAGATCCAGCAGACCAAAAAAAAGGGCCGGTAGGCCCCATTTGAACGAGTTCAAATTCCGCCCATCTGGGTCGTCGATCTTGAGGATCGACGGCCCACATGAGCGGGCATTTGAACTCGTTCAAACGGGGCCTACCGGCCCTTTTGTTTTTTTTTTTTTTCACATCCACGGCTTCCTTGGGGAGGGAGAAGGCCCCCCGCGAAGAAAAAAAAAAACTCTATGATGCGCTGGGGTCGCCCAGTGGCCAACCGGGCGGGACGACCGGCCAGGCGGCCCGGCCCCCCCCCCGGGCGACGAGCCGGGCGCCGGGCGGCCCGGAGTGCAGCCTAGGAAAAAACGCATTTCTGAGTTCTCTTCCCTGAAGGGGAGGATTCTGAGCATCGACTGCATGTTGTTCTGCTGCGCTCTTTACTCTGCTGCTCACGCTTTTAGATGCACGATGAACATCGTCAAGCTTTTTCTGGCTTGCTCTTCCCATGCCACTTACCTTTTCTTTTTTTTATTTTATTTTATGTTTGCGATTGGAGGGTTTTGGCGTTTGTTCGCGTTTGGTCACAAACGGTCGGGTTCGGTCACTGAACGTGAACACGATGCAACGCAGATTGCATGTTAGTGGATATTCCGATATTCCGATATTATCATATTATGATATTACCATATTATTATGTCTCGACTGTGTCGAAGAATTGTGCCCTTACTTTTCTTTTTTTTTTTTTAAACACACACCCTCTGCAATGCTAGTGGTGCTGGTGAGAGCAGACACCACTAGCACCCGGGGAGAGGCTCTGTGCCCTTACTTGTTGATCCTTCCTTCTTGCACATTGTTATGAAATTGACGCACTGTGTTCTTTCAGAAAGTAAAACTTAACTGAAGACTACAAAATTACAAACTTCTGAAGTTAAAGAATGAAAATGATTAAAATTTAACATCCCATTTGTTGGAGGGTGCCTTGGCATCCCACAAGCTATTTTTATGTTCGCGTTCGGAGGGTTTTGGCGCTCGTTCGTGTTCCGTCGTGAACGTTCGGAGGGTTCCCTGACGCAGTCACAAAGCACTCTCTTCTATTTTTTAATATCCGCATTCTCTTCTGAATTTCAAAATCACAACCTTCACTTTTGCAGATTTGCCACATCCCATTGATGCTGTTTTCAGTTCAGTCCAGTCCATCCAAATGCAATCTTCACTTTTGGCGAAACGCAATCTTCAACTTTGGCGCCAGCGTTCTGTTTCCATCTTCCAATTTGCGAACTCAGTGGCTGCATCACTTCACTTTAGGTTCATTCGGACCGAGCCTTGCCCTTATGAAACATGGGTGACCTAGCCACCATGTATCTGAACGGTATACACGTCCAAGTTCTAGTAAACAGATCATGAATTGGATCCCGATCACAATCAGATCCACACAACGATGTCAGGGGCTAACCTTTCAAGAAAAAGAAAAAAACAGAAAAAAAAAACAACATGCAGCACACGTTTCCCATCCCCCCTCCCCTCGACTCCCAACACGGTGTGACACCGCAAGCAACCCCAGTGACAAGAACATAAAAAAGTAGGGTGACAACAAGAAGCAAGAGTCCTCTGTGGGTGTGTCCTTACAGTCCTCCGCTCTTTGTCCGGATCAGGTTTCAACAGGCTAGGCTCCATATCTGACGTGCTCCCTTCTAGAACCTTCTCGATCAACTTCTGGATGCACCGCATATCCTCTTCGTTGGCAAGGATGAGGCTAAGATCAGATAACTGCTGATCAATATCGATCTCCATCCCATCAATCGCCTTCACCTTGAGATTGAGCACTTTATCTACTACCCCCTTTCCAGTCTCTTCCTCCGCCAGTGCCGTATCGCCCTTCGTCAGGGCTGCTTCCTCCTCATCCTTTCCCTCTCGATTGCCTTCAGTTGCGCAAGCTTGCCCAGCTTGCACATGCTTGTCCAACCCTGCCAAGTCTCCACTGCCTCCACCATCCATCTTCATCCTTACAGGTGGTGCATCCCCTCCACCTTCATCCATCTTCGCCATAGTTGTAACATCGGAAGCTTTGTGTGCAGTCTGTGCTCCACAAGCCAAAGCCACAACATCACATTAGCGTCGTCAGTATATTTCCCTGCATATCACCCTCACCAAACTGCCAACTGTTGCAAATACATCGCACCCCTCCATCACTTCAAACCAAGCAAGAGCTCAGGTGACAAAATACATCGCACCCCTCCATCACTTCAAACCAAGCAAGTGCTCAGATGTGAAAGAAAGGAGATAGCACTTCGCCACTTCAGACAACCAAAAACCATAAAAGGGCGACCCTTATCACACCATAAAAACTAGATCATGCTTCACTAAAGGCATCACATAATCTCTCTCTCTCTCTCTCTCTCTCTCTCTCTCTCTCTCTCTCTCTCTCTCTCTCTCTCTCTCTCTCTCTCTCTCTCTCTCTCTCTCTC